CAGCTAATTGTATGGGGGCAGGTGAAGGGGAGAGGTGCTGGAGCTAACCTTGAACATGTTAACCAGGTCTATCATTGAGCTCTCTACCCCTAACGCTTAATAGTGTGTGAAATAGATGTATTGCCCAGAGGAGTATAACCAACCAAACAGGCATACTGATCAGGAAATCCGTTAGTTTATTTTAAACATATGTGGTTTTCTTAGGAGTATGATCAGGATTAGGTGTCTTGTGGGGCTTAAGAAACCAATATGTGAATCGTTACAAAACCTGGTACTGATACAAATTTCCTACTCGACTTGACTCCAGGATCTTCTTTTGAGGAACAAGCATCTTAGTAATTTGTGTGTGTGTATCTTCTGGCAGGAGTTCAGGACCTTGTGCATGGTAGGCCCTGTGAGCAACATTTGTTTTTTTAAGAGACAAGAGTCCCATAGTGTAGCCCTGGCTGGCCTGGCAGATATTCACCTGCCTCAGCCTCTGGAGTCTTGGGATTGAAGACAAGTATGCCATCATACCTGGACCTTCTATTATCTAAGGAACAACTCTCATATATACCTTCAACTCCAGCTTCAGGAGAGCCAAGCCTCTGGCCTTCTCACACATACTCATACATGGACACATGCACATAATTAAAAATAAAATTTAAAAAAGGCTATTATCAAAGTTGGCTATGCATGCCTATACTCCCAGCACCGGAGGAGACTGACACACAGGATTTCAAGGTCAAGCTTATCCTAGTCTACACAAAATGAGACCCTGTCTCAAAAACAAAAGCAAACAAGAGACAGGACATAGAGGCGGGTGAATTTGTGCTAGTTCAAGGCCAGCCTAGTCTACCTAGCAAGTTTCAGGCTAGCTAGGACTGCACAGAGAAAATGAACAGCTAGGCATTTTGCATACTAGATTTTCATTCCATCCGTCCGACTGTCCGTCCGTGTTTGTGTGTGTGTGTGTGTGTGTGTGTGTGTGTGTGTGTGTGTGTGTTGTGTTTGCTATAAATGAATTTGGTACAGATTTTATGTTACTTTAGTAAATACTCATTGTCATCGTATTTATGGTTTTTGTTTTGTTGTTTTTGTTTCCTTGGAAACAGGGTCTCCACTGGGTCTCCTGGAACTCTCTCTGTAGGACAGGCTGGTCTTGAACTCACAAAGATCAAGCTGTCTCTGCCTCCCAAGTATACCATGACCTTTTCAACTTATTGTACGTGTTACTGTGGGTGCACATGTGCCACAGAGCTTGGTGAGGTATGAACATACAGAGGCCATAGGACAACTTTAGGGAGCCAGTTCTCCCCTCATAGGTCCTTGGGGTCAAACTCAGGTCATCAGGCTTGGTGACAAGTACCTTGACCTGGTGACACATCTTTATAGCCCCCAAATAAAAGAAGGTGGATATGGTGGTGCACACCTTTAACCTCAACACTCAGGAGCTGTTGGCCAGTGGATCTCTGAGTTTCGATTTCCCAGCTGGGGACTGACCCAAGGCTTTACATATAATAGGCAAAAAATTACTAGCTGAGCTGTAGCCTCAGCCCAGAACATGAACTACTTGTTTGATATTTACTTATTTGGTTTTTGTGGGGGTGCATATGTATGAATATTTTACTGCACTTGTATGGAGGTCAGAGAACAACCTGAGGGACTTGATTGTCTTCTTCTAGTATGTGGGTTCTAGGTATAAAACTCAAATTCCTGAGCTTAGCAGCAAATGCCCCAAGCTCATTTTGTGTGGGCTGGGATAGAGTCTGGAACCTTGCCACACTGACCACAGATTCAGCCTTCCAGCAATTCTTTGATAACTTCACCCGTGTATATAGTGAATTTGGGTCTTCTCCCCACCTTGTGTGTGTGTCTGTGTCGTCTGTCTGTGCCTGTGTTCATTTCTATATGTTCATGAGTTTTTGTGCCTGTGTCCATGCATTCATATGTGCACTTGCTGAGATGTGTATGGATATCTGCACACAAGTGTAAGGGCCTGAGGTTGCTGTTGAGTATTCCTTGATTAATCTCACTGCGTTTATTGAGATAGGTCTTTCAGTAGAACACAGAGCTTGCTCATAGGTCTAGTTTGGCAGCCCAGCTGTCCTTCTGAGCACTAGGTGGGCCCCCATTTTAGGAGATCTGAACTATTGAGTTCTTTAACTGAGCCATCTCCTCCCTACCCACCTCCTTTTTCTGCTTGAGCTTGGATGGGAGGCTATTTATAGGGCGCATAGGCAACTTACCAGTGGTTATATCACCCCAGCAAACAACTGCCAGCAATCCGCCGAGGGATGGAACCTCATGAGTACCTTCTCCATCCATGATGAGATGTTGAAAGACCTGGAACCTCATGAGTACCTTCTCCATCCATGATGGAATGTTGAAAGACCCAATCCCTTTTTTTTTTTTTTAGATTTATTTATGTGTATGAGTGCTCTGTCTGCATGCTTGTCTGTACATCAGAAGAGGGCATCAGATTCCATTATTATAGGTTGTTGGGAGCCACCCTGTGGTTGCTGGGAATTGAACTCAGGACCTGAAAGAGCAGCCAGTGCTCTTAAAGGCTGAGCCATCTCTCCAGTCCCCACTTCCCCTTTTTAGGGCTGTTTCCCACCCTGGATGTATACGCATGCACTTGCATGAGTTTATGTACAGAATGCAAATGTGCCCATGGAGGCTGGAAGGTGCGAAGTAATAGAATTACTCTGATCCCTGTCTAGCTTCAAGTGAATGAGGCTCAAACTATGATTTATTAGACTATGTGCAATTACCCCTGATATGGATTATGCCTAATCTAATTATCTAATGCTAGACTGGCTGCTTTCCTAACTGTGCTCCCCCAAAACTGCTGTTGGAATCTTCTGGGTTATTTCTGCTCCAGCAGTCTGATGTCCTGGGGAGGCATTTTATTCTGATACCTGCTGCTGGTTCAGCATGACTAATGAAGACTTCTTGTTCTCTCCATCTTCTCCTCCTCTGTACTCCTTTGCTTTTTTCCTTTTTCCTCCTCCCCTCTGTCCACCTGCAGTCAGGTAACTCAAACTCCAGCTGTCTCGATTCTCCCCAGTAACTAGTTGTAGCCATTTTTATTTAACCAACTGTTTTTAATTGGGGAGTAAGGGTTGCACAGCAAAGGTGGTATACTTGGGAATTGACTCACCTTGGGGCAACCAGATCTAGGGTACAGAATCAGCATTTGAATATATAGCAGCAGACCAACCCCAATAAGAGGGTGTTAGGAACCAGAGTAACAGATGGTTGTGAGCTACCTGGTATGGGTGTTGGGAACCCAGTCTGGGTCCTCTGCAACAGCAGTAAGCACTCTCTAACTTATGAGCCCCTGAAGGGCCAGGTCTTCTGCTGGGATTCATAGCCGTAGGGAGTTCATGAGTGTAGCAATCTTCTGCCCAGAAGACACTGTTTTGTGGAGTCCCTCTCCATCCTTCAGTTTTTAGATTGTTTACTACCCCTTCTTCTGTTTACCCTGAGCCTTGGAGCATGAGGCATACGTTGCATGTTGCTTTTGCTGCCCTACCTAAGCCCTGGGAATGGACCAAGCTACCAGCCCCTGCCCGGAGAATTTTGGATCCTTGGATGAAAAACACTGACACACACAATTGTTCAATTTCAACTTGTCTTATTGGCACAATTGCTGGGCACCCCCAGTCTACCTTGGCTAGGTTGCCCTTCCCAGAACTTCTAGCTCAGCACCCTAAATCTCCACTCAACTTCAATTGCTCTGCAACCTTCAGTCCCAGCTCAACTCTCCCAGCTTCCTGCCTGTAGAAGTGGCCTGTGGCTGCTCCCCCTGAGATCTTACTTGGCTGGTTGGCTTTTTTTCCTCCAAAGCATGGTGAACTCTCCTTTCCTCCCTCTCCTGAGTCTGCCAGCTTGCCTGTGGGGACCTGGAAGTCCCACCTATTCCTTCTACCCAACAATTGGCCCATGACTTCTTTACTGATAGATCAAGAACCAATTGGGGAACAGGATCTTAGCATCAGAACCACTCCTAGTCATAGGTGTCTCTTTTAGAACTGAGCACTTGATAATTTTTTATTCTTAGCACTTTAATTGACTATGAGTTTCTGTGTAAACTTTCACCCACTTGGGGAAAAAAAAAAAAAACTTGTCTCGTGTAGAACTAACTTTTATCCTCCAGAAGTAGTTGTTGTCTGGGAGGCTTACTGCCTCCATCTGCTAACCTAGGCCTAGTCTTGGAAGCTTCTAGTCTCTGTACAATCTAATCTAAGCCTAGAACGTTTTCAGCTTCTGAGACTTACTGCTGAATAAGCTCACCCTTTTTAGTTCTTTCTGAGGTCTGATTGACTGGTTCAACTCAGCTGTTGTGGCTCAAACTCTTCTCCAAGCTGACTGATTCAATCTGGCTTCTCTATCACTCTAACTGAATTACTCTGCTTGGCCTCATACTAACTCTGGCAATCTGTTCTAATCTTCTGGCTCCTTCTCATTCCCTGGCTCCTTCTGTCTTCACCTGTGTCTAGCTTGTTCTGCAATCTATATCTGTACAACTCTCCTGGGAAAACTGCTCCCCCTCCCCCCCCCCCCCCTTAGGTAGCTTTCCTTTCCTTTCTCTTCTTGTGAGAGTTGGGCATATCTTGTTCTGTCAAATCTTTCTCTAATTCATCACTTTGTCTGCCACTCGCATTCACAGTATGATCAAATATCCTGCAATAGTCTCACAGGCTGAATGCAGCAGTAAATTAAGGGTATAACTGAAAGTTTTTAGAAAACAGTTTGACAACATGTCCACTTAGCAAAACAATAGCAATAAGTTCCCCGCTAAGGCCTGTGGCCTCACAGATTCACAGTATGAGGCATGAGTTTCTTCCTGTGGAGCAGGCCTCCAATCCAACCAGAAAACAATTCATTACCTACAGCAGTCATGCCACGATTGTACCAGCGAGCATATCTTGCCTGGTAAGTAGCTCACAGGTTTTCAGATGGGTAATACTTGATCCATAGCAACCTTCCTGCACTGCGAAAGTTAGCTATCAGTGGAAAGGAAGCTCCCAACTCAGTTTCAGCTTGATTTCTGTCTTGCAAACCAGATGCCATTGTTGCTATTGGCGGAGATCTGCAGGGGCTTCTAACCTGACTGGAGTGGCCAAGGAGCTGCACTCTCCAAAGCGGGAGGGGGAAGTTGGATTGAGGCTGCTCTCTTCTGTGATTTCTGCTGGAGCTGGCTAGCCAGTGAGGTGCAGTGGCTAGGAACCAAGGTGGGGCCACCGTGCAGGAAGCGACTACACTGAGCCCAGGCAGTTTTCAGAGGCAAAAGCTTCAGGAAAGAACTCTCTTTCCCAAAAAGTGTTCTAGCTCTGGTATGACAGAAGCTCTCAGGTGATCCTTGGTGAAACAATTCCTGCCACTTTATTTCTTCTGGATAGGGTCTTACATACATTTTGGGGTGAGTTGGGGTCTAACAGCAGATCCGTTCTATTAGGTTGGTCTGAGATGTTAGGGATGCCTCATCTGCATGTGGAGGAGCTTGGGACGCTACCCCTATGTGTGACTAATTGTCACAATCCTTTCCATGGGGTGCTGTGGGCCTGGTCGAGAGCAGATGAAGTGCCTACCGTCCTTTGGTTTGAGGCGCTGGGGCTTCTGAACCCACTCAGCCTTACCAAGTATCCTGGCACTGTCCACTGCCCTACAACCATATGGTGAGTCTCTCTCTTCCTTTGTTGTCTGTGTATGCTGTGTGTGTGTGTGTATGCTATGTGTATGTGTGTGTGTATGCATGTATGTGTGTGTGTGTGTGTGTGCATGTGTGTGTGAGAGAGACAGAGAGAGAAGGGAGGGCTTCCAGGACATCCCTTGGCTCTGCCACCCGTCTCTCCAGAAGTGTGGAGGGAACACAACATGTTCTATGCATCTGACTTCTATGTGGATTTTTGAGAACTGAGATCCTCTTGCTTGGATGGCAGCTGCTTTACCCACTGAACTCTATTCAGCCTTCAGGGGTTTTTTTTTTTTTTTTCCTTAATACTCTCCTCCTGACCTGTTATGCTGCTTCTATATTGCCGTTGCTGTTTTGTTTTGTTTTGTTTTGTTTGAGACAGATTCTCCTGTAATCCCAGCTGGCCTCTGGCTTTCTCTGTATTGGATGGCCTTAAGCCCCTGATCCTCCCTAGTGTTGGGAATACAAGTGTCTGCCCTGAGTCCCGATGCTTGTTCGTTGAGACAAGGCCTCCCTGTCTGGTTACAGCTTCCTGGAATTCACTATGTATACCGGGCTGTCTGTGAACTCTTGCTGATCTTCCTCCCTTTCCATTTCCAAGTGCCGAGATTGCAGTATTGTACTGCTGTGCCAGGCTGGTAGTCTTTTTCAGTTTCTGGATAAGCTCTTTTCCTACCTGCCACCTAGAATGCCTACTACACCTCCCCCATTTATTTGCATTGTTTACGTATAATTATGTTTCTATATTCCTATGTATTTACATTTTACTATTGAGCTACTGCCCCAACCCATTTTTATTTTGAGACACTTTCACTAAGTTCTCCAGGCTGGCCTTATTCAAGATATTGCCTTAACCTCCCGAGTATTTGAGATTACAGGCCGATGCCACTAAGCACAGTCCTACTTACTACATATTCACTAAGACAGGGCCACACTTAAAAAAAAAAAAAGTTTTATTTTTAGTTATGTGTCTGTACCTGTGAGTGAATGTCGATATGTGAGTGCAGGTGCCCTTGGGATTCCTAGCTACAGTGCCATGTTTGAAAGGTTCACTCTTACTCTGTTCACTGTGATAACTGTAGTGATTAACAGTAAGCACAGAATAAGAGCCTGTGTGTATGTAGACTAAGAGCTTATTAGTGTGTGGACTAACAATGGTTGGAGAGTATAAAATAGTTATTCACTAAGCTTGTTAGAAACAGGGCTGGAGAGATGGCTCAGCCGTTAAAGGCTAGGCTCACAACCAAAAATATAAGAAAAGGGTGAACAGGAGCATAATTGGCGTCTCTATGTAGACTCACCTCAAACAGCTAGCACCATGTGACAGGATGTCCTGCAACACAGGCATGCAGTTCTGATGGCGGCCAGAGTCTAGATTGGAGACGGAGACCTGGCTTCAGGTCTCACTGTGGAGCAGGAGTCAGGAAACTGCCCAGAACCCACTGGGAAACAACTTGGGTGTATCAGATGGACTGAATAATAGATGGAGAGTATACTTAGCAAGCTTATGACAAGAGTAAGTGATGATACACAGGTACTAGCTGGAGTCAGGTCTGAGATGGAAACCACACTGCCAGCTGTTGATTTTCTTTCTTTATGCTGCTTAGGACATTTGTCTTTCTGAGTCTATGCCTGTGTCTTCTTCAGCACTACTCTAAAATGGCAAACGTCTGAAATACGGTTGCTTATTATAATGCCTGTATAATTTGTGTTTAGTTTTTATCTAAAATGTTTTAGATGTTGTTTTTCAGATACTTTTCTCCCTGTGGTATACTGATGAACAGAACCCTTCCACCATGCGCCTCAGTTTTGCCAAAAGAGATCTGTGCAAGAACCTTCTTCAGAATCACTGCACCATTAGTAAATAAACGAAAGGAGTATTCAGAGAGAAGAATTATAGGGTTTGTATATAGTAATTTTATTAAAGCACACTTGCAATTTTCTTTATTTCTACAGACCACACTGCTAGGTAAGCCTGTCTATAGCCCTTGCTGTTTTATACACACTGTTGAAAAACTGTAATATTGGGCTGGAGAGAGATGACTCAGCGGTTAAGAGCACTGACTGCTCTCCCAGAGGTCCTGAGTTCAATTCCCAGCAACCACATGGTGGCTCACAACCATCTGTAATGGGATCTGATGCCCTCTTTTGGTGTGTCTGATAGCTACAGTGTACTCATATACATTAAATAAATCTTTTTTTTGAAAGTGTTATTAGAAAAAAGAAAGATGCCGGACAGTGGTGGAGCACGCCTTTGATCCCAGCACTTGGGAGGCAGAGGCAGGCGGATTTCTGAGTTCAAGGCCAGCCTGGTCTACAGAGTGAGTTCCAGGACAGCCAGGGCTATACAGAGAAACCCTGTCTCAAAAAACCAAACAAACTAACAAAAAAAAAAGAAAGAAAAAAAGAAAAAGGTACTGATTTTTATGTTTCTTAATAGGGTATATTACTGAACTTTTTTATGATTTTTATTTTTTACATATGGGTATGTGGGATAGAGGTATGTGCATGCGAGTGCAGGTATCATTGGAGTCTAGAAGGTGTTCTGGAACAGACAGATGTGAGTTACCCAGTGTGGGTGCTGAGAATTAAACTTAGGTTCTCTGCAAGAACAGCTGCATTCTTAACTGCTGAGCCACCGCTTGCCCTGAGTTGATTCTTGGGAATGAATACTCATCACATGTCCCCTTCAGGGCATTTTTGTGACTCCTAACAGGACTGCTTTAGATGAGAATTATGGTTTTCTTTCTTTCTTTTGCCAAATAACATGATTATAATAAATTTTTATAGGAAATCATTTGTATATCCTTAAGTGAGCTTAAACTCACTCTGTAATGGTTAACTTTGAGCTCTTGTTTTCCTTCTGCTTTAATTTCAATTTTAATTTCTTTGGTGTAGTGGTATTAAAGGCCTGAACCACCCTGCCTTTTTTGAGACAGGGGCTTACTGTGTAGCTCTGACTGACCTGGAACTTGCTATATAGACCAGGCTGACCTCAGACTCACAGAGATCCATCCATATGCCTGTCTCCTGGATATGGAGATTAAAGACTGTGCCACTAAGCCTAGCCCTTGTTCTTTTTCAAATAGGATCTTTTTATGTTGCCCAGGTTTTTTCTCCCTGCCTCAGACTCTGGAATAATTCTCTTTTTTTTCCCTTAACTTTTAATGTTTTTTTTTTTTAATTTTATTTATTTAATGTATGGGTGCTCTGATGCATATATATCTGCCACCTTGAAGAGGGCATCAGATTCCCCCTATAGATGGTTATGAGCCACCATGTGGTTGCTGGGAATCAAACTCATGACCGCTGGAAGAACAGCCAGTGCCATCTCACCAGCCCTGAGTAATTCTTACTGTTGAGTGAATGTGTGTGTGTGTGTACATGTACATACACACGTATATACATATATATACACACCATACACACACACACATGCACAGATACACAGACCTTTGTGGGGGTGGAGGGCAGGGGTGTGTGTGGTCTTACTAGCCTAAAATCTTGAGTTTTGTTGCCTTAGTATCTCCAGAGCTGGCATTACAGGCAATCCCTACCATACCCAATGAGACAAACAATTTTAAAATGTTGACAGTAATTTAAAAGGTTCCAGTTGTGACTTCTGCCATTTCTATTTGTAGCCATTTTACTTCCTGTGTTGCCATTCCATCGTGTCCTTCGTTTATATTCTTTTTAAAACTCATCTCATAGAACTAGTTGTTAACGCTATTTATCTTTCTTTTTAGGTACTCAATGCAAGAAATGTATGATGTTGTATCAGGAATGGAGGATTATAAGCATTTCGTCCCTTGGTGTAAAAAATCAGATATAATATCGAGGAGATCTGGATATTGTAAAACCCGATTAGAAATTGGGTTTCCACCTGTTTTGGAGCGATACACATCAATAGTAACCTTGGTAAAACCGCATTTGGTAAAGGTAAGTTTTTCTTTTGCTGAAGGCTACTAGATCACCAAATAGGTCATCTGGCCCATAGATGTGAGAAATGTTTTTATCTTTGCACTGTTAAAACAGGAGGACATGGTAGCACATGCCTGCAATTCGAACAGTAAAGAGGCTTAAACAAGTGGATTCTGAATTTGAGGCTACCCTGGGCTATAAAGTGAGCCTTTATATAAAAAAAATTAATATATTTAATATTTTCAGTGCATTACTTTACCACTGAGGGGAACATCAGTTTGTTGAGTGCACACACACGATTTTGTTTTGTGTAAGTTTGAGGAGTGGTGATAAGACAGTGAGAGGTCAAAGGTTTTTTAAGAAGGGGAATGTGAACATAGAGATGATGGCTTGGTGTCACGCTGCTCTTTCTGAGCACTTGGTTCAGTTCCCAGCACTCACATGGTGGCTTGCTCCTGGCTTTAACACTAGTTCCAAGGGATCTAAAGCTCTCTTCTGGCCTGTGGTCACTGCATTCACTTGATATAAATACATACACGTAGGCAAAAACATACATATAATGAATGAGTCTTTTTTAACCCTCTAAATGTAAAATGTTAACATTGTTAAGGGTATCCTGCCAGGTACCGTTAAATCATATTAACCATGTTACCCTTGTCAGAGGACCCAATTTTTTGAAGAAAAGTACCTGGCCCTTTATCTTTTCCTTTCTTTTCCTTTCTCCTTTTTTTCCTTTCCTTTTTCCTTTCCTTTTTCCTTTCCTTTTTCCTTTCCTTT